TATCTCAACGCGCCAAAGTTGATAGCGGATTCTCACCTCAATAGACCTCTGCAAGTGGTCTTCTGTTGAGTTTTGCGTGAGATTTTGACATTACCTGTAGGATGTATAACTTCTAACTTTTTCAGAATTTCATTTAATCGTACTTGACGTCTATTGACCGTATACTTTTTTATGACGAAGTTACCTTCGACAATCTGTTGTCCTTCGCTTGATGTGTCCTTTTCCCAATTCAGAGTTCCAAGTGCCTACCACTTATTGAAGAACGACAAAACGTTAATGACATAGGAAAGTGTTCCTGTAATTTCTTATATGAAAGGCACCTCTATACATTTTTTCTTCTTCCGTCTCCCTTACTCTCATAGCTGTAACATCAAAAACTTGCCAAACCAGGCATTTATGTTTAACAGCAAGCAGCTTCGAATCGTTGTAGATGAAAACGTTAATGGCGTTGGAAGCAGTTCATACAGCTGTACGGCGTGACTGCTACATATAGACAGTAGTCGTTTTCTATATTGTACAAGGTCTTGGTGAAAAGAAAAGTCCTTATTGAAATTACCCGTCCATTTCGGATTCATCGACTGCTCGACATCTTAGTGACAAACGCACTCTCTTCATGAAGCTTGAGCCTTGCTGATTTGCAATCTCTAATCTACAAGCATCTCCTACCAACTTCGGCTTTATATTGCATAATCCAAAACTTTCAGAAGGATGGCTGGAAAATTCTTCTAGCGTATTGCAGAAAAATAGCACCTTTCATGAGGACGTAGGTTCTTTGCAAGACCCGCTTCACGAGCTCAGTTAACATCACTCATTTCTGCGAAAAACCGAGCAGAAAAAGACATCGGTTAATTTTGTTACATTCAACGATCAGACAACGTCTACTGTTCGCAGTTCTTTCTAGTTAGTCTTTCTAAATATCGACCCTGACAACAAAGATGCATGTGATAACCATCAATTATGGAGTGTGGACTTGCTTCTAGTCACCGTACAGATTAGCCAGAGTGAAAATTCAATTACTTGAAACCTTTATCTAATTCCTCACTAAATTGTAAAACCGTTTTCCTCACTAAATTGTAAAATCAGCTGTTCTAAACTTCCTCATTGGAAGTCACGAAAAAGCGACTCTGAAGAAGGCGATACTGCCGAAACGTCAGCTAGTGTTGTATTGTATTGTGTTTTTCTATAGAGGTAAATGTATGCTGTTTAAAAACCTCGCGATTGCTGAACAAGAAAACGACGCATTCATATTCCAATGCCGAGGTTAATAGAAAGTTGATCCTGGGAACTGTAAAATCGTTGTTGAAATAAAGGACAGAGGATAAAGCTCTTAGCATTGATAAATTATTGAGGGATGCGCCATGCAATCGACTTCATTGGGCATCATTTGAAGGTGATTGAATGCACGTCTGGCCTCTACAATAACTCGCGGTGGCGCACTGATGTACCGAGGCCTTGCTGCTATCCTCCTAGGGAAGTCTGGTGTCAATTTGCCGACCCTGGAGGGATGGAAGCCTTGGTGGGCCATGGGAGCGAGATCAATGCCACGTGTGTGTTGCAGGGCGCCTCTGACCACAGCACCACACGCGCCCATCGTTGTTGAAATGCCTGCATTCATTCGACAAATTTCATGTGTTTCAATAATCCAATGGTCTTGGCTTAAAACGAGAACAGAACTATGAGCTGCTGAAAAGTGATGAGATATATCCGCACATATTTTCTCCTCAGCATTCATTAGATCTTAACTATTGCAACAATTGGAGTAGGGTGGTGTAAATTGCCATGTGATGATACATGCTAGTCATTGGTCTATACAGCGACTCGTAGTGGCTTACCGATGTATCAAGTCAGGGCTACTAAACCTCTAGCGATGCCTATTGAAGTCGAATGCATGGCATATCCCTCAAACATTGACCAACGCCGAGAGCTTTATCGCTTTATAATGTACTGGTAGGAGGAAACATTTAAAGGTGAACGCTGTCATCGAAATTATTTTTAGTTAGATGAAGGCTCATTTAGATCACGTGTGTTTATTTACCGGTCACTCGAGTTATTATATCAGTGATTTAGTAAAAAAGGAATCGAAAGTGTAGTGGTTAGATTGCTGTGCAATGCACCTCTGGCCCCTGGTGTGTTCCAGTGTTAGGACAATCAAGCCCGCATTTTCTGGCACCAGAAAACTGGTATTAAGGCGTTAGAATACATGGCGCATCCTTCAGGGATAGATCAGCACCGAAAACTTTATCCTTTTTTTTACTGGATTTAAACTGTATATTGTGTTACCGTGTTTGTTCACTGTCTATTGCCAGTTGTGAAGGAAAGGTCGCATACTACAATAGTTTTAATGACTAAAATATAGGACGTGCCTTGACGATCCCAACGAAAACCAGACTATGTCCTCTTTTCTGGGCATTTTCCTCTTCAGGAGCTGTTTTTTAACGGTAGAGACCCACTCCATTAGTAAATGCTCTCATGTTATTCTAATTTTGTTTAAAAATAGATGCAATAATAGTCTATGATAATTTTATCGATTGATTTTCTTCTGAAACAGCAGCATGCTACGATTGCATACTGTCCTCACATTTCTCAGTGCAATAAAAGTACGACGGTGCTAATTAAAATGTCATTTTTTACGGTGTTACAGGGCAGTTTGTTTGACAACTCGCTGTCTGCTCGAATTCGAAGCGTCACTTCCTCATTTCCAAGACTGAAAAGCGATTTTGAAAACATAGATTGAATAGTCTTAACCGTTTTATTCACTGCCTACTATATTTAACGGCAGGGTATAATGTGAAACATAACTTCAACGATACTGAGATATTTGCAAAACTCCGGACCGCAGGTGTTTGCGGTGGGGAACGAACGCGCTATTGTCCTTTCCGGGGACTAACGCGCTCACCGCCACACCATGCGGATCCTTCGCTTCGCCTGTCTCTCAGCTAGTTCTGTCGACCCGTCAGCGGGATTGACCTGGGGAGCCCAAATCGGCGATGAACCCAGCTAAGCTGAGGCTGTAGTTATTGCGCTGACGAGTGATTGCTGTGGCAAAGATCGGTAGAACTAGCTGAGAGGCAGGCGAAACGAAAGACCAACATGGTGTGGTGGTGAACGCATTACTCCACGGAAGGACAATAGCGCGTTCGTTTCCCACCGCAAACACCTGCGGTCCGGAGTTTTGCAAATATCTCAGCATCGTTGAAGTAGACTGAATAGTTGTTACGAATGCCTGGATTGTTTATCGCCTAATCTTGGCCGGAGGAGGATTCTGGCTGTCTATGTGCTACGTATAGTATGAACTTCGTTGCTTTAGAAGGGTCGTCAAGCTGAAAAGGTGTTCAATATCTTCATCTGGAAGCCATCACGATAGAGTCACTAGTTGGCAAGAAAGAAGTGCTAAGAAAGCCCTCGTATACCATCTGTCTTCCTAGCCAGTAATTTACCAGGTAGATGAAAACTGTGCTCAGGTGCGCACGATTTTTGGTGATTCTTGAAGACATGTCGGGTCAGTCAACTACTTAAGTGCAGATAATGGAGTATTAGTGATAAATAAAGGCACAAACATAAATAATAAGTGATAATCTGGTGAAGTCAGCTCAGAAGTCATGAGTGAAATTCATAAGAGAATAGGAAGTTTGAGCCTGACTTATATCGTTTTTGTGACAGATAGATGTAAACGCCGTTAACTTTGTGTTTCGGTGATGTCTATCGTACACTTTCGTTCTGCTTCCGACTTACCGCTCTAGTGACAGCGTCCTTCAGCGTAACAACTTTAATGCGATTTCGTTGTTTGAAAGGAAAACTAAACAAAAAGGTGAAACTATTTATAGTTCCATCACAAGTACAGGCACTTTTTTAAAACATGCCGTTGTTGAAATCGGTATTAACAAAGTTACCGGCTCGCTATTGAAGCCTCACTATCAATGTATTTCCTAAGTCATTTATGTATCGAATATATGCCTATATACGTGATAACCCTCCAAACGGTTTACTGCCTCATCGTGACTTGGAAGTGCTCCTGGGTGTCGGGCTGCGATGTACAGCGGGGTGATTCTCCTACGGCAGGGTGCGCCAAGCTGAGGAGTCCGGCATTTCCATCAGGAAGCCTAGCTAGGCGTAAACCAATACCATGATTCGCCACCGTCGTGGTATAAAACTACTCGAATGGTGGCAGATCCCTCTCTGATCCACGAGGACGGCGACTGCATGTGGTGGTGACGACCTGGGGTAGACTTTGGCTAGACTAACCTCGGGACTCCAAGGAACCACAGTGGCTAAACCGGCAAAACTCCGAAAAAATGGAGGTTGTGCTGGCGCCCCGCACAATCAATGAGGACGGACCATCCAAGTATCCAAGTGAGTGAGTATGTGATAACTAACTTTCCAACACTTTTGAGATGGCCTTAAGTTACAAACTATGGAGATCCCAGCATTTCTAGTATTCGATTCATTTCCTGGCAGCCATCATTCACAAATGCTTTTGGATTTACGCGTGGGTTTCGGCTCTGCTTGATTGGGTTTGGTTTTCGGGGAATATCGGTGGAGTCGATTCTCTTTGGAATTCTGGAGCGGCAATGCTAGGACGTTTCGAGCTCTTCATCGCATGCGCTACTTTCTATCGATGGGGTAGCGAGCTGATCACAAACAAATCTCGTGCCAATCTTTCTACCTTTGAGGGAAGGGAAGAAATTTTCCTTTGTTTCTATTAAAGAAGGATACTTTTCCTATGTACGAGTTTATGATATAACGGTTAAAAAAATACTTGCTCCACTCGTTTTGTTAAAATTGGAAAGCGCACTGCTTGATGTCTCCCATACGCGCATTGAAATCACACCACACCGTCGGGAATGTGATGAACATAAAAGCGCTAAAAATTTACAAAGAAGACAAGGTTGACATTGATTTTTGTTAATATCTACTATCTCACAAAAAATAGATTTTGATGAGTACTGGAGCATAAAGGAAAATAAACTCCAAAAAGGAAAAAAATGAGAAGAAGACGAAAAATGACTGGAAACCTAAATTTCAGAAGTCCGTATGTGACTCCAAAGCGGAACTATTGGAATTATTATGACGACCATTCTGATTACTATCGGGACTTCAAATCTCAATCACGTGACTACGACCAACGACTACGAACCTATGAGCGAACGATCTACTTCATTCGTGTTATGGCTTACATGCAGGTGATGACCTCTCCAATCCGGTTGTTCATCATTCTTAATGAAAATGGTTTAATGAAAAGCTTAACGGTTCTAAGAACGACTAGCAGTGTGTCTTGAGCTTCTCTATAAGGCTAACAAAAGTACATTGGCCCGCCGATTGCATATCCTTACGACCTTTAACAGGAGTTTGAAGACATAGTAGGTACTAAGCACCCATTTTTTAGATAGGGTTATATAACGATAAAGAAAATCTGACTATTCTAAACTAGAAAAAGAAAAAGCACATTTTTCCTTCGAGACTGACGTTGTGTAAAATGTTTTGGGCGCGTTTACGTACGGCGTAACGAATATTACGGCAAAGTTTTGAGAAATGTGTGGTGGTAATTATTGACGTTTTGAATGGGGGAGTACCTGGAAATGTGGGATAATGCATATCGGCCATTCTAATGTGAAACGAATTGAAAAAAAGGGAAGAAATCGTTGGAAGGAGATCTGTAAAGACTATGAAGTGCTGGACAGTCACTTCTTCTAAACATTGTGCTTTTCGGTCCAGGATCGTTATTTCATGAATTTTTCCTACCTTAAATGTTAAGAATTAGAAAGCTTGTGGAATTTGGGCAGAAAGGCATTTCGCGTTACAGTTTTGAACCCCACCCCATCCAAATATGACAGAAATCTTTCCAATTGCTTATTTTTTTAGATTTTCATTGCTGGCGTGCTGTTGGTGTCAGATGTGTCGCGAATTATACTTTTATGGACATTCTTACAATCCTTCAGCACCGTCATCGAAATGGTAAAACAGTTAGCAGGCTTTAATCAAACTTATCTTGAATTAGTTGTTCAGCAGGGAAGAACAGAAAAGATGAGACATATTGCAGTGGAAATGAAGAAAATGAAAAGCGCTTTGACATGTAGGTCACATTTTAGTGTGGGGCCAATGCTAAACTTTAACTGGGAAGAAAAGTTTTATGACGTCATTAAAACGATCAGGGATAGTGCACCTGGTATTCATTAATCACTTAAGAACGCACTATGCATTTCTTTCCAATCGTAGTATCATAGGAGTGATTAATTGCAGACTTGACTAGTTAAACTAACTTGAACTGGTCTTGCGGTATCTCAGCAGTGTTTTTATCCTCCCATAAAAGTGCACTACCAGCTCACTAATCTGATAGAGGGGCTTGCTTAGCGCTGGAATTGAACTAACGACCACTTTTGTATTGCAGGATTTATCCTTTTTCTTCTTCAGAATGTTTATTTTTAGGAACTATGCTTGCAATAAATTTTGCGGTGCTACAGATGAGTGAAAAATAAGCCGAAATTAGGAGTGACATAGGAGTTCAGATAGGGAAATTTACTACAAATCTTATCACCGTAGAGCTTAAAGAAAAATCGAGGAAAACGTTTATATCTACGAAACGATTACTTTTTACTGAAGGAACATGTCTATGTTTTTATGGAGTGTAGAGTACAGTGAAAATTCTTCTACAAATGGAAGTCACTTGGGCTGAATGTGAAGAAAACCTCTCAAGAAATGAAAATATCTCAGCTTGAGCTCATCATCTACAGACATCCTTTATAAATGTCTCGTGAAGAAATCGCTTTATTTAAGATAGGCTTTCAATGAGTTTAAGGTATCTCTTAATCGTCTCCGAAAAGCGACTTTTGTTTAGCCTTGGCATAAGGTGTCAATACGCTCATAGATTACTGAGCTTATACTTGACACTATGATAGTGTAAACTTGAGACACAAATTTATACTAACATCGCATCAGCTCGATAATCCGAGGAGGTATATCTTTCAACCAGCTATTTCTTTTACACGATCTACATTTTTACCTGTTTAACACTCTTTCTAAGCACCGAACGAATCGTCATTATCTGTTTTAGACATAATATACCGCTGGTCATAACAGTCGCCGCCTCACATCTGAAGGTGTTTCAGATCTCTCAGCTGTCGTTTCCATTGTTCTCGTTGGTGGTCGGTTTCCTTACCCTTACCAGCACACTCTCGCCGTCGCGTGCTGTGTCTAAATCGGTCGTTGTCGTTCTACTCATCACTGTTATTCCTAGTTTCGTTTTCCCAAAGCAATCGGTTTTCATCACCGGTACGTTTTCATCGTTGTATCTATTGCGGTTAAAGGGCAATGAGGTTATGGGGCGCATGTGGAGTAGTGGTTAGAGACACCTTGCAATACACATGGGATCATTCCCGACAACTCAGGTGGACCAAGCCTCTCATTCCACCGGGCTGTGCAAATTGGTACCAGACTTTTCTGGCAGGACAGCAGCACTGGCTCGATACGTGGGTCTGCCAGCGCAAGCCATTGTAAATAAAGACCAGATATGCTTTCACTGATGATGTTTAATGAAGTCGAATTCATGGCGTATCCCTCAAGTTGTTCAATGCCTAAAGCTTTATACCTAGTCCTTTTATTTATTGTAGTTTGTTCACTCTTACGCTAGTACGCTACATTGGAACTGTTACAACTAAGCATTTAAAATATTGAAAGCAAGTTGTTTACCTACCTCCTTACCTGAATACTTGAATTTCGTACTCTCATAAATGACAAGGAATTATACTAGTCTGAGCACAATTCCCACTTAGCCGATAGTTTATTGATCTGGTAAGATTTTCTTTTCCTAGCATCTTAAGGCAGCCATGATAAGGCTCTTCTAAGCTGGCACCACATACAATTACAGAATCTCATGGATCGCAAAGAAGGTTAGTCGCCGTGCCAATAGGTTGACACAAGCAAGAAGGTGATCTATTTTAATGGCCTGCCCTTAGCTGGCTTCGCATAGAAATATCGTATACCTTATTTTAGAAATACCGCAACTTTGTTAGGAGGCCACGGATCTCCCTCATATGACGGATCTCGACCCGGTTGGTCGTAAGGCCACCTAGCACGCCCTCAGGTAGCGAGTAGGGGGTTAGTCGTAGACCAAAAGCGACCTTTGCTTCCCTGACACGTAGATGGATCCAAGGGATGAACTCCCTGTTTCTACTGCGCCGATTTGGCGCATACTTTCTGTATTTTCAAGGCGTATTCATGGTGCGTGGGTGCGTTCATGTCTATGCAGATTATATTCTACGACTCAGTTCGGCCAAAAGGGTGCACTCAAATGACCGAAAAGTACATGCGAATCGTTTAGGAGTCACCTCCAATAAATAAGCTCCATGTCCGCTCTGAAAAAGTCTAGAAAGCGACCCGTAAGTATATGCAGCCCCCACGTTCAGAGCTCAGCAAGCTATACCTGGGTATCAAAATGCTAAACATAGTAAAATAAACGGGCCTCATTTCTTTTACCACCAAAAAGCCCCGATTCGGCAGAGTTTGATAGCACGAGTAATGAGGATTAAAAAAGATAATGCTCTCGGCGTTGATCAATCCCCGAGGGATGCGCCATCCATGGCCTTTACAATGACTCGCAGTGGCCTACCGCTGTATCGAACAAGTGCTGCTATTCTCTCAGACAAGTTTGGTACCAATTCGCCAATCCCAGAGGGATGGAAGGCTTGGTGAGCCATGAGCGTAAGGACCGATTCTACGTGTGTGTTGCACGGCGCCTCAGACCACTGCGCCTCACGAGTAAGGAGAAGCTGATAACCTCAAAGACAATCAAAGATGCTTAAGTCACAAAAGACTAAGCTAATGATCTGTACCTACCACGCACGCACACTTGAATCTGAGTCCTCGATAGAAGGCTTGATTAGGCAAGCAAAAAGATAGGGTCCGACGTCATGGAACTGACCGAGACGAGAGGACTCCACCATTTGACGCCGTCTATGACATAACACTGGGAAAGAGCTATTCCTCTGAACATACGACAGTAAAGAAGCCGGCGGCGTCGGCGTTCTCGTTAACGCGAGTTTGGCCGTGAACACCGATTCATTCGAACAACTAACAACCCAAATCGGACGTTTAACGATTGAAGAGACGTGGATCAATACCGGCTTTGGCAATCTTCGTCGTTTACGCGCCGACAACGAATATGACGAAGAAGAAATCGATGCTTTCTATATGGACTTGAAGAAGTTCTACAGACAAGACCATACATTATTTAAGGTCATCATTGGCGATTACAACGCTAAGAATGGACCCAGCAAAACGTCTGAAGAACGTCACATTGGGAGTCATGAAATAGAATTGAACAAGCAGCGTGAGCGGCTGTCTGAGTTTGTCATGACGACCAAAACCACCCATGGTAACTTGCATTTCCAGGGCCCAATTCTCAACGCTGGAATTTGGAGTCTCACAATAGAGAGAACCAGGAGGAAAAGATTACATCATAGTAAACCGAATGTTTTGGCCAATCGATATGGCGGTTCTTCAAAATTATACACGGGATCTGACCATCGCCTCCTTCGTGCAAGATTTCATTTGTCGCGGAAAGGAGAAAAAGTCTCTGAATTTAAAAAACGAAGCCCAAAATCACCGTAAGCTTGGATTTGTTCAACTAGTTTTTGGAAGATACCGTTATCGACAACATCGAAGAGGAACGCGATCAGCTCGTTTAACATTTTCACGTTGCTTACTTGCTTGATACCTGAATGGCCCGTTCTCACTGGTTGTGGGGCGGTAGCATAACCTCCACTTTTCGGAGATTTGCTGGTAAAGCGATTATGGTTTCCCGGAATCCCAAGTTGAGCGTGGCTAAAGTCTGTCCTAGGTCTTCACTGCCACGAGTAGTCGCCGACCTTGTGGATCAGAGGGACATTTGCCACCACACGACTTTAGTACCAAAATGATGGTCGATCTTAGTATTAGTTCACTCCTAGCTAAGTTTGCTGATGGAAACGCTGGACTCCTTCTCAGCTTGGGAAGGCGTACCAGAGGGACGAATTCCCCGCTGTACATCGCAGCCCGACAACCAGGAACACCCAGCCACGATGAGGCGGCAAACCGTTGAAAGGCATTTTCACGTTAGCGCTATGGAGCTGAAAGTTCTAAAGTCGCCAAAAGACGTCTGCCTCCAGAAACACTCGAGGTGATACGATAACGTGGAATCGCGCGAGCTGCAAGGGACCGCCAGCTTTCGTTAGAGCTTGCGGAACTATATAGACAGGCGATAAAAGATCTTAAAGAGAGAAGAGCAGCACTTGTGGCCGAAGCTGCAGAGGCTGGAAAAAGCGTTCGCAAAGCCCATTGACGCTTCGCTACATACAAAGCCAAGGCGATTGCACTCCGACGCTTAGACTTATTGGTTAGAGTGTCCACAAAGGCAATGGAGGAAATCATTCATGATCACTACTCAAATTTCTTCAATAGCCACGTCCCTCTGCCCTCATGTGAAATAAAATAGGATGAATATCTCGTACCAACGGTTCTCCCTTCCGAAATCCCTCGTGCTATTTCGTCTGTGAAGAGTCGAATAGTACAGCATAAGATCTGAACACCTAAAGTACCTTCGGCCGGTCCTCATAAAAACACTGGCTCAGCTCTTCATACGTTACCTATCTGAATGCATAGTCCCAACTCAGTGAAAGACCAAAAAGACTGTACTGTTGTTTAAGAAGGGTGATCTACACGACATCGGCAAGTATCTCCCAATCTGCTTGCTGTCGTTCGTCTACAAACATTTCACTCGATTCGTCTTAAACAGGATTGACAAAACACTGGACGAAAGGCGCCTATTTGAGCAGACAGGGTTTCGAAAAGTATTCATTGAAAAAGATCACAACCACACGATAACGAGAAAGTATCACAGGAGTGCAAAAGACCGCTCTGTCTCACTTTCATCGATTTAACGAGGGCTTTTGACTCAGTTAAGACAGAAGCACTCATGGAAGCCGTGGACAAGCAAGGACTCCCTACTCAGTATAACAAAAATTCTTTGTGAGCTCTATGAAAATTGTACAAGAAGGATAACACCAATCTGCAGCGATATTAACGTCGATGTCAAAAGAAGGGTTAGGCAAGGCGATGCCATCTCGCCAAAATTATTTGCCGCCACCCTCGAGAACGTCATGCGAACATCGAAGTGGGGTAATATGAGAGTGAAAATCGATGGTCGGCAGTTACACCATACTTGCTTTAATGATGGCATTGCTCTTATAACACCCAGCATTAGCCAGCTGGAACGAATGCTTGCGGAGTTTGATATCTCCCGTGGAAAGATTGGTCTTCGACTAAATCTCACAAAAACGATGTTCATGAGGAAGGCGATTGGTTTCCTATGCCGCATTCACGCTCAACGGAACGAATATCTCCGAATGGTCCAGATATGCCTATCTAAGTCGGGAAATCAACATGTTCAACGACTTAGCTCCAGAGCTGAGCAGAAGGAAACGAGCGGCTTGAGGAGCTTTCAAGCATCGAGGATGTAGTGAAGAGGACAATGAATACCCGACTCTGTGCCCACCTTTTCGACTCAACGATATTTTCTGCTCTAACTTATTCGTAAGAAACCGGTTCATTGCGTGACCAGGACGAAAGATCACTCAGCGTTATAGGCGCACTCGAAAGGATGATGGTAGGCGTATCCTGTGTCACACAAGGAAACGTGATCCGATGCTCCGACCTTCGTCAATAACCAAAAATCGAAGATTCCGTTCTATACGCCAAACTGTCGAAGATAAGGTGTGCCGGACACGTAATGCATGCCGACAACCTATGGACAAAAGCCATTAGTGACTGGATTCCTCGGTATGCCAAACGTACTGTAGGAAGATCGCCAAACCGATGGTGAAAGTTCATTGCGAAGAGTCTAGAAGAAAGGTGTGATTCTCAACGAGTGCCTAGAGCGAGTGGAACCCATTGGGGTGGTCTTGCGTGCAACAGGGAAAAATTGAAAATTTACTGGTGCCCGATCGGGTCGCTCGACCATCAACGGGACGACAGGTGATAAGGGTGGTTGTTAGGAAAATGGACACCGTTGCTGTACATCTCGGCTCGTTGTCCATGAGCATACCACACCCAGAGCGAGGCGATGTTCTATTGGAGACGAAAAAAGGCAAAGATTAGCAGTAAAAGATATTTTAGACAACTAAGTAACTTAAGGCAAAACAGCCTATTTGCTCATCTACTTAATTTCTTTATTTAGTGTTAAAGTGCTTCGTTCACACAATCATTCTCACATGAACTAATTTTCTAAGCCCGCTTACGTAATAACGATTTAAGCAAATCAAATAAAATTACGCATTTCTATCGAAAACTGTAATCCGAAAACTTCAGTAAATAGTAAAGTAAGTATTAGTATAAGTAAGTAAGAAAGTATAAGTAAGTAAGAAAGTAAATATTCCTAGTACTTTTGAAAAAATAGGTTCATCATGTAAGCAATCAGTTCTGTGTTTAGCCGCCATAGATGCCGTTGAAGTGGCCCGAGCGGCTGATCGGACGCTTATGAAGGAGGTGGGTGAAACCGTGCATCGTTTTGCAATAAGTCTCTACGTCTTGAGAATTTTTCCTAAATGATGATTTTCTAAGTGATATATCTTTTTGCTTTTAGGTTTCTCTCGATATAACTATGGGCATGATTCGTTCCAAAACTCATCATAAACTGTTGCGACTGCTATCTGCCATAGGGCCAAAATGGCCGCTTGGCATACAGGCAAGAAAATTTCTAGGAATTCTTAAATTTGAACACCTTTAATGTGAACCATGGATTTGATATTCCAACATTTGGACATTTGACTAACAAATCAATCGATTCTAACTGATCAAATGTTACTTTGACGGGTTATTATTATTATTTCAAATCGATTGTTTTCTTACGAAATTTGACATTGTCCAAAGTGATAAATGTTTCCTGCCTGGGTGCTATTTCTGAGAAAGTTATGGGAACTTTTCAAAGTAATGATATGATCCGCTGAAGAAAATTGTAGCCCAATGTGGGCATCGTTGTCCAAATAACAAAATTGCCAGTTTATTGATTAACAAGAAATATTTCAATTCGAGATAAAAACTCAGCCTAATGTTTTAAGAAGTTCAAGGGTACCTATTTTGAAACTTGGGTGACTCTTCTTGACGCTCGCTTCTAGTGGGATTTACTCTATTAATCATTGTATCTATTTTCGTCATTTCATCGTCTAGAACGAGAGGATCGCCTGAGTGTTTTTATTCGATGCATATTTTCTTGAATCTCGAACCAGAAGTTTTTTTTGAAGGTTCGAAGGATATATCATAGCCTCATACTGCATGTACCAGCTAAATTTTCGTTGACCTCGTTTAAGCGCTGAGCGGTGCGTAAAATCTTAAACATCCCTGGCTTGACGTCAATTCGTATCTAAGATATTCTGCTGAATGCTAAGAGGAATGTAGAGCGTTAACAAGGGAGTTTGGATCCTTCAAAAAGATAGGCATAGAGTTTAAGAAGGTCTGTAGATTGAGCGGTAAGTTTATTAAGACTCTCCTCGAAATCATAGAGAGTATACTCTGTTTTTACATTTATCGTCAAGAATGTCAATAACTTTCCTAAAACAAATGCGTTACCACACTACCACAATGCTTGAATCAAATATAGAGATCTTCATCGAAGTCGTTCCATTATTTTCGCCATTCCACCGAATTCTTCTTTTTCACTTCTGGAAATAAACAAGGAAAAGAATGGAAACCTTTTCGTTGGTTTTTTGTCCACAGCACGTTTCTTCCATGGAAACTCGTTTTTCGAGAAGAGAGAAAATGCCGATAGACATAGGAGATTTTCGACGGTATGAGTAATGCGAGGATCGACCATATTTTAACGAAGAGAAGATCGTGCCTCTTTGACACTGCAATGATATCTGGATTTTATCCAAGTTCTGATTACTACCATCTCGGTGCGAAGATTCGATTGAGCCATGCGCTGAAAAAGACTCCTATCGTAGTTCGAGAAAAAAGAAACTAGTCGCGCATAATTGATAAAGTTTTTACCTCGTCTGAGTGACAGATAAAGGATTACCCAATCGAGGATTATAAGGTGCTTGTCGAAGGACTTAGAACTTGTGCCGAACTAACCACATTTCTTCAAAGATCGGGTTTAGACCGCATCGTCTTCACCGCTAAGCTGTTCGAGAGAATAAAGAAACGGGAGCTTAATATAGTGCAGCACAGTAAGCACGGCTGATGCGAGCTGTAGAAGATCTTTGTAGGAGGAGTGCCAACAGGGTATTTGCGACTTTAATGTTCGCTATCCGTCTTGATGAACGAAATGGGACTATCACTGCATTCTGCCATTATATGGAATTGACAACGGGAAAGTTCAATACCAATCCGTTCCGCTCGACAGTCACCGTTGCAGTCTACAGAATACCCGTTGGCAAAGGACCTTCCTGGGTTCAACCCTCTGAAGTTCGAGTTGCGATAGAAAACATGAATAGAGCGGCAACCTCAGCACCAGATAATACCACCGCAGACTTCTTTGAGTCGGAGGCCACAAATTACCTTCAGGAGGAGAAAATCCCAGACCAGAGGACCATCTTGTCGAAAAAGGGTGACTGAGGGATCGTTTTCGACGACTATCTTATTACCAATATCAAAGGCTTTGGACAAGGCACAACCATCTGAACAAGCAGGATTTTGACAGTGCTGTTGCTGCCCAAACCAAACCCAAACGATTTCACGAATTATAGCACCCTGTCGTGAATACAATCTGTCTTCTTGTACTAGTCTTCATCTACTACGAAAAAGCGATTTGTAGCGTGGAAAGGGTTTTAATTGTATCAGCACTCGTCGAACGAAGAGTGGACTTGTCCTCTGCAGGAACACTAGCCGACTTTTATCGAAACTGCAGAACAAGGATATACCTTTACATTGACATATTACCACGTGAATAGGAAAATGGGCTCGATAGAGATACACAATATCGCCAAAGTGGTTTACCACCGCACTGCAATGGACTGTGAGGCTTCTTAATTGGAACAAGAAAGGTATGCTTTACATTTTTCTTATATGACCCGTCATCACATTTGCTGTGGGGATCCCAACAGTCCTTGCATTCGAATAGTTTTCCAAGCATTTACTGTCCACAAATGTCTTCGAAGATTTCGTGTGGTGTCTTGGCTGCTGGTTGAGAATTTTGTCTACTTTATTAATGTTGTTTAATATTGGTCGAGCCGATCCTCCTTGCAGTCTTGGAGATAGTCGAGCTAAGGCGTTTTCACATGTATTGAGGGAGATATTTGATGCGGAGGTCGAACTAGCGCCTTTGTATCCTTATCGACGGCATCGTTAACCGCTGGGCTATCCAACTCCAGAAGAGCGTATTCAGTTCATGAAGGACCCACGGTACGAAGGCGAACAAATAGAACTGGATAGTTACAAATAGAACTCTGATTACAGAGACCACCTTGCTCATGTTCCTTGGACGTTCAGTGAACATACGGAACAATATGGAAGGTGTATTACAAAGAAAGAAGGCAGCATAGGCTTTTAGTTTGGGCCTTACAAAGAAGTCATCGACCAACTAAAGGGCCCAAAACTCCGCGCTCACTTTTTCGTTTAAATAGTACTCCCATCGCTGTTATGCATCAAAGACGTGGGCTGATATTTAAACTACGTTAAACAGGCAGAGACACAAGGAATCACTCACAGAGCGCCTGAACGATGTCTTCTGAAATTTAACAAATATTTACAACAATACACATGCAACACAACGGTTGACGTTTCGGCAGTATCGCCTCCTTCAGAGTCTGGAAGGATACACGAATACGCAACTTATTAGGTCAAACATTTCCCTAGCACAAGGAAGGAACACCGAGGAAGAACAGCCGCTCAGAGTCGCATATGGTTGACGACTGCACCACCCCACATCAACGATCAATACGAAAGTACGGGGAGAGATCACGCGTGATCTCGGGGCACTCCTCCCTGATATTAATTGAAGAATAAAAATATGTAGCTTATCCATCCAGCAGCTTATGGCTTTCTTAAAGGAGTGCTTAAACTGCTCGATTTTCAGATGTTCTGGGAAATATTTCGGGCAAATAAGGGGGTTGGCAATGGAACAACGACTGGCACCAAGCCTTGCCAATGCGCTTATTTCTAAGATAGAAACCCCTGTTCTTGATCTCCGGCCACTACTCTACTGCAGGTACATAGATGATTGTTTTGTTATCTTCTCTACAGAAGAGGAGACGGACAAATGTATTGAATTATTGAACGAGCAGTCTGAGTACATTAAGTTCACCAGGGAGAAACCGAAAGACGACTGGCTCCCGTTTCTAAACGTTCAAATTAACTTATCCAGTAACGGTTATTTGACAAAGCGGTACCCAAAATCAAGTAACAAAAACATCCTGGTTCATCTCCTTTTTCCCACCCTTTACACACAAAGAGGGCGCTTGTGAGAAACATGTTTCAAACAGCCACCTCTGTGTGCACAAGTAGGGAACTAAAGGAAAAATCGCACCACTTGGTTCGACAAATAGCCATCTCCAATGGCTACGAAACAGTAACTCCACGAGATAAGTTTAGTAGGGGAACGCCCACGCGAAACACTCGGCCAAAAGAAAGTCCCGTTTATGTTGCCTTTTATTAGCGATAAAGTAAGCGTAGTTATGAAACGATGCTTAAGAAGGACAGTTCTAGAGGTAGCGATAGTTGAAATACCACCGGCTACTCTACGTCGTCAATTAGTTCGCAACCGCCTGTATGACCGTCTGTGTGAAACAACAAATTGCGTAATTTGCTCTTACGGCAGGGACGGTGATTGCATGAATTCTGGTACGATATACCTGATTTCTTGCAGTACTTGCGGAGACGAATATATCGGCGAAACGGGCAGACCTTTATGTATCCGTATAAAAGAACACCTAGATGGCAAATGAAAAGCAAGAGGAGCACGCCACTAGGGACGCATAGGATACAAAAGCACAGCGGAGACGATTTTAACATAAGAGCAACTATCGTCGCACAAGATCCTAAAACACCAATGCGCAAACTCTTCGAGGCTTTTTGGATAAATGCCAAAAACCCTACAGTGAATAGCAGGGAGAAATGCCCTAGATTACGCGTGATCTCGTCCCGTACCTTCGCATTGATCGTTGATGTGGGGTGGTGCAGTCGTCAACTATATGCGACTCTGAGCGGCTGTTCTTCCTCGCTGGAAGACAGGTGAAAAAGCGATGGGTTTTTCGAGAAGCCGTAGATCTTGTAATTATCGTGCAGATTTTCATCTTTCTGTTTGTGCTGTTGAAGCGTTTGACCTAGTGAGTTGCGTATTAGTGTACCCTTCCCGGCTCTGAAGAAGGCGATACTGCCGAAACACCAGCTACGATTGTGTTCTATGTGTGTTATTGTATGAAAGTAAACATATGCTGTTTAACAACCTCGCGATTGCTGAACAAGAAAACGACACATTCATATTCCAATGCCGAGGTTAATAGAAAGTCGATCCTGGGAACTAATGCCCTGGACTCCAACAGAATGCAAGTGTTCTCTTTGAGGACCACCGAAACGTTGGGAGAATGTATTCGCTGCTTGATTCGCGGATGGGAATGATTTTAGGAATACGGAATGCGCCTCGCTTACGTCTTTATGTTCGAAATGGACCACAACCATGGACGATGGCATTGGAAAAGAGAAACGAATGAAAATTGTACTGGGGTGTGCATTACCAGTTTAGACGAGCCATCCAATTATCCAAGTATGCAAGTGAATAAATACTGCGTGATG